TGTTTTCCTTAGTTTAATAATTTAATTGCTTTAAAGGGGCCTTTCCTAGTATTTTACTGAGAAAAAAAAAGTTTATCTTGTGGGGTGTTGGGAATTCTTAATTACTGAAATAATTCTGGGAATCATGATAAATGACAGTCTCCCTTTTGAAATACAGTGATAGAGAAATCCAATCCAATTAGTTTCTCAATCTGAGGACCTGGTAAACTGTCTCATACAATACCTTGCATTGTGTTCAAGTGTATGTATTTGAAATAGCACAGTTAGAAAATTGCAATTTCTGTAACAACTTCTGCAAAGCCGGTCTCATTGTCTCCTTCTGCGAACAGCTGGTGTCTTTGATCGTCTGGCAAATAACTTAGAACTGAGTGCAATAAGCAAAAATACGTGACTAGTCGTTTTCCTGACCTCTGATACCCTTCCTTTTCTTCTGAGTGTTTGAATAAACTCTCCGCTGCTGCAGAATGAATGGAGGAGCTGCTTGGCCGGCCGGGGCGCGTGCCCGAGCTGACCGCACAGCAGTGATGCCGGTGCTCCGCGCTGCGCAGGGCTGGGCGGTCGCTGCGATACAACTGGTATCCGCGGAAACTTTGCTGTTTGGTTTGAACAGCAGCAGGTGCTCTCTTTCCAAGTGTTACGTGTATCTGCTGTCCTGCCTAGGATCACTGATCCTTTGAAGGCATATCGCTGTGTGAGATGTCGTTTTTATTGCATGGCCTTTAATTTCCTAGTCTACTATGAAAACATTTTTCTGGGAAGCATTGTCTTCACAGTTCTGTTGGGAGATACTCCCTTTGCCGGTTTTGGGGGAATGCTTTTATCATTGTAGTTTCTCCACCATTAATGGATCTCCCACTTTACTTTGAACGTCATCCATTCCCGTTCCCTAAAGGTATGCTAAATCATAAGAGCAATGAAGGCTTTTCTTCCTGTGTCCTTCAGAAGAATAAACACTGCTCTGATGTGAAGTTGAGATGAAGTTTTCAAGGTGGAAACCCAGTACATCCAGTTACTTTCTTTTTGACATCCATCTTCATTGCAGAAGCAAAACAGCCCACTCGGTTCAAAGTTGAGTATTTGTGTGCGGGAAGGATTGGAGGGGTAAAAACCTCACCAGATCATGTGAGGAATTTACTGCATGACTTTGGGGACAACAGATATTCCCACAGGATCAAGCTATCTTTGTGCTTCAAAAGGGAATCTATATGAACACGTTAACCTTGAGCTCTGAGCACAAGTATTTCTGTGCCTGGTGCAATGAAGCTCAAGTGTCTGAGTCAGGGACACGTGTGCTCTTAGACTTGTCAGTAGAGCCAAAGCCTGTGGTAGACCAAAAAGGTGGTAGAGCCCTAGAAACCCTGTTTTACTCTAAGAGAATTCACATGATTCATGAAATGGAAGAAAGTCAGTAAAAAGAAAAGGTAATTTTGGTAGAATAATTTGATACGAGTTTGGATTTAAGCACTGAGTTTCTATAAACATAATTGGAGTTAGCCCTTCTTGGTTGAGAGCTGTGGCTACCTCTCATAGCCCAACTCTGAGTGCTCCTGTGCTTTTTGAGGAGCCTTAAACAGATTCTGTCCTTTAAGTTATTAGCCAGAGGTTTCTAAAGGCTGATAAAGCAAATGCTGCAGTCGTCTCGACCGCATAAGTAAGGTGAGTTTTAGTGTTATAGCCCTGAAATCTCATTACTAATGGGGGAGGGCACACGTTTGGTGGGCATCAAGGGGAGAAACATAGTGATTAAATTCTTTGACCTGTTACATACTTTACAGAAAGTTTGTTTTTTCAGGAGCTGTTTGCCCTTCCACTTACAAGTTCTTTGCATGGGTGAGTTCACACGTGAGTTAAAAAACTGCAGCCTTGAGTCTGTTTGGTTAGAGGGAATTAAAAGCTGAATTTGAGCAGCGAATCTTGAAGAACCACAGTTGATTAAATGACTTCTCCTTTTTTTCCTTTTGTGGGTTTTTGCTGGTGCATTTTTCTGGAGGAGTGTAGGGTAGCATAGTGCAAATATGCTGACATTATGACTTAAAGGAGTGAAACTGGTGGTAAAGCTCAACCTGCAGTGCGTGATTTAGTGCAGTCCATTACCTATGGAGAGTGTGAGCTGCCGCGGAGCAGCCCGTGGCTGGAGGAGCACTGGGTGATTTTATTTATCTACCTGCCACAAGTTGCTAAGACCTCTGAGCCTTCAGCTCCCTCCTTGATCTCCACCGGCCCCTTCCCCCAGAGCTGCCAGCTCTGCCCCGCAGCCACCCTAGACCCTTCTCTCCATGGCACTTGCTAATGGCTGCTTTCTTTATCTCTGATTTCACAGAATTTGTATGAATTAAGTCTCTGTAGGACCTCTACCCCTCCAGCAACATTAGCTGAAATGGTCCCATTGCTTTTAATGTTTTATTGGCGATTCTTGCACAAGGTTGCCTCTCTTTTTCGGTTGGCAACCAAGCTTTAGAAGGTACTTTTAAAAGATTATCTTGATCAAAGTTTCTTTTGAAATCTTTCAGAGTTCTTGCAGAACCAAATGTTTTATGAATGGCGGGTAACATTTAAAAAAATAGGCTAATATATTTGATACCATTATTTAATGATTTAGTTAAGTAATATTTTCCAACTAAAACATCAAAGGGGATTTCACTGCTAATTGGTTTTCATGTATTGTTTTCCTTCTCAGAAACTCCCATTCCAGTTGCGGATGGCCCTTCCGTCTGCATGTGCGCGACCTTTCCCTGTATTGGATTACAGAGCTGTGCTGGCCATGTCCAGAAATCTGTGTGCTAGACAGGTGCAGAGCACGAGTTAGTGCTAAATAACGTTACTGGTGGCCCCTAGTCGGTGGTCTGAAGTGCACCGGGTTGCTGAAAGTACAGTCAGCTGAAACACATGGAAATGCAAGGACAGGTTATGGGAGGAAATTTGGAAATGTTAGTGGGAAGTGGGCATCGTTTTCTGCCCCGTGAGTTGTACTGCCAGCTTTCCCATCAGGGCAGGCGCGATGCTGCGAGGAATGCTGGAAGGCGTATTCCAGGGGAAGGATTATTTGCATGGTTTATGATCTTCCAAGGAAATACAGAACAAAAGAGTGAAGACAGCATGAAAGTGTCATCCAAGAAGTCCTTCCTTGTAATCTTTACAACACCTAATATAATTGGACCCATTTGCAGTTAGGTCTTTGGTCATTTCTCTAATTAAAAATTAGTCTTACCTTTGGAAAAACTCTCGGACTTCAAGCGTAAGGATTTTTTTCTTGTTTTAACTTGAGAAATATTAAAACAATTACGTGTAACTCCTGGGCTGGGAGCCTGACGCATTGTCAGTTGTGCAAATCATGCCGATAGAGGCTATTAATCTTCAGTTTGTTTGTGCGCTCAGTTTACTTTATAGGTAGATGCATATAAGTAATCCCCCCGACTGATTTATTCCTTGAGCTCTGCTGCTTCCTTTTAGAAGTCTTCTCAGTAGGCAGCATCTTTTCTCCTGCACTGTTTCCTGCTGTGGTTTGGTTCCCCATGTTCTCGTCTCCAGCTTGCACGTTCCCAGGCTGTTGGATGTCCCTTGTTCTTGCTTCCTGGAGGGGGCTGGGGGGTGACCGTGTCCCCTTCCAGGGTGGCTTTGGTCTGCAGTTCTCACAGGGAGGGCTGCAGTAACCTGCCTCAGTGTCCTCAGTGGGAGTAAGCGTATTGGGCAAGAAAAAGTCACAGGAGTTGTTAAGGAAAAGTTCTTATTTTTTTGAAGAACAGCTGTTGTGGAATGGCAAAATTGAAGTCAGCTTATGACAGTGAAGCTAGGGTTAAAAGATAGCATAGGTGAAAGGCTGTAGGCCATAGGATCGCAAGTAGCAAAGGGCAGAGAAAACTCAGCAAAGGGAAGAAGAAAAAGGCATCTAGCTGAGAGGTGGGGCTTCAAAGCTCTGCACGACTGTGTAAGTTGAAGTTAGTGTTAGGGATGATGAAGGGAAGAGCAGAATTAGTCAAATTTAAAAAGTCAAAGTAAGTTCCTATTTCAGTTGCCAGCAATGCAGACGACGATCCTGTGTTTTCATTTTGTGCTGACAGAAGGGGATGCGGAGCAGAAAGCAAGAGGTTGTAGTGTTTTGTAAGCGGAAAATAAATTGTACCGTGGTTTCTCACAGAGCCTTGTGACACATGAGGCCCGCGTTGTGCAACGGAGAGAGCGTTCTCCCAGTTCTCAGCTATTGCAGGACGAGTTTACCGGGCTCATGGGCAACTTCTCAAATTATAAGTATTACAGCACTGGCTTAAAATATATGGAATATAAGGAATATTGTATGTAGATAAGAAATACATCTTTTTCAGGAGTCTCTGTCCTGCACAGATATTCTGATAACTCTTTCAGACTTTTATTGGCACATGTGAAATATATCACTTGCTGTCTTATTTTAAAATACCTGCCTGTTTTGCCTACAGAAAGTACTGGGTGGAGTGGGAATTGCATGTGCCAGCCATGTCCCACCTTTGCAGAACATACACTGAATTCCTAGGATTCAAGAAATCTTTTAACTTCTTTTAAAAGTAATTTAGCTTTGAAAGAAGAAAATATCTCATGGGTAAAAATAAATCAATTAGGAACTGCAAGTATGTAAGAATTACATTTTAGAAGGTCATTACGAGCATATTTTTACATCTGCCTAATCTCTTTTTGTGTTCTTTTTATTATGGGAGTGATGGAGGAACATCTGAAAAGAAATGCCCATGGGTATTATTCCCACACTCAGCACTCCTAGACTCGTTTCTTGTAATTTCATTGCTATCAGTTAATGTCCTTCCTTTGTCACCTCTATGAAATCCTGAAATGAAATCAGAACATATATTTGAAGGGTAAACCACCAAACTTTCAAAATTAATTTTGAGAATTAAACTGGGAATGGATAATTACTACTATATTCTGTTTTAGCTTAATTTAAAAATGAATCAGCTTAACTTGCACAGAATATACTCAGTTTTTATATTTGTGTGTTTTTTTTTTTTTTTTTGTAGAGACGTAAAGCAATTTCCTATGACAGCTCTGATCAGACTGCGTTGTACATTCGTATGCTAGGTAAGCATACCAGTTTCTACATTGTAAGGTTCTAATATTTGTGACCGTTTTAAAAATATTATATTTAAATATTTATATGTTGTACTCTTAAACATATCTTTGTCTTTCTCCTGGATAATATTTTGGTTAGATTCTTAGAAACCTCCTGTTTCTTTTTGTGTTCATTTGGAAATTTTTAGTTTGTTTGGCTTTTTTTTAAATTGACTGTTGCATCTGATATCTTTCTCCTATTTATCTGTTAAAATCTGTGATTTCATTAATTAATCCTGTAATTATTTTCCCTAGTGACTCTAATTTAGGGTGAGACTTTCGAGAAGAGGCTTGTATTTGAGTAATAACTTATCTTTAATAGTATTTAAACAAGAACCTATCTTTAATAAAATATATTGCTACTGTTAAATGTATATTGACAATATCATGGCATGTGTTTCTATTGCAGTGATGTTCATCCTTTATTCATGATGGATCTTTATTTCTATTACACAGCTTTTCGTCACCTCTGCATGGTGTTCTTCCCATTAAAACTTTACAGCTTAGAGAATTGTTCTCTGTGAGAGTTCCAGTATCAGGACTGAAACTATGAAATACTCGAGCTCTTCTTAAAACAATGATATGGTTTGAAATTACACTTAATTCTCAAAGATAACTTGAGAAGGGAAATACAGCCTGATAGGGCCAGCATTTAGCAGCTAGTAGGATATTTCCAGAGCAGTAGTTAGATGAAGTTAAAGTCTGATTAAAAGGAAAGGACAGTATTGGGAGGAGCAACCACCAGAGACCCTGTGTGGTACCGAGCATGCAGAGGCAGGAGCTGAGGTTGGAGATGGGGGAGCAGGAGGTGCTGAGCTCTTGTGAGCTCTTCCTGCTCCTCCTCTGGATGGAGGCATGAAGGGTCTCTAAACGCTGTAAGACTCTTTCAATCCCAAATCATGGTGCTTGCCCTCAGCAATTTTCAATATAGGTACACATGTATGCAGTTTTTGACTTAGCCTCTTATGTTCTTATTTTTCATACTTGTTACCTACATACTTGTTCTTTCACGCTTGTGAAGTTAATACTGTAGGGCTTACATCAAAAATTCTTTAGCAGGTAGTGAAGGTAGACTTACTTTAGAGACTTGTAAAGTGGAGATGGATGGAAAATGTTGGCTTCCAAGTGTTTATGAAAAAAAAAAAAGCTAATTTAATTGCTTTTCTGGTTATGGATAGATTTACTTTGTTTTTGGAAGTCAAAATAACCTTTTTTTCAGTGATCCTTTTTGCAGGGTGAACATTAGAATTCTCCAAAATGTAATCGATTCTTCTGCTCTAGTAGAAGAGTTTGAAAGTAAATTCAGGTCTGAGGTTGTTTCCTTGATTTTTGTGATTCTTGTTTTTTAACTAAATTTATTTTGTGCTATAAGTAGGACACCCCCCCACACACACACATATTTCTGCTTCAAAATCACAGAAATTGAGTGATTTTGAGAAACTTCCCCAACAAGTGAAATATGTATTAAGTTTTTTGAGAAGCTTTGATATACTTGAATTAAAGGTAGTGTGGGTATATAGTTTTTGTCACTTCAAAACCAATCTCTTAATAGTAAAAGGCCAGCTTGTAAGAAAATAGTTCTTAGTATGCGGGAAGAAGGATCTGATTTCTGTTTCTTTTGCTGGTATGGGAGTTTAAATTAATTGTGAAGTAGGCGAGCTCATGATTTCTGCTGAAAACTTCTGCAATAATGCTGAAGTAAACCTAAAGGAAAGCAAAACATGACTTGCCGTGGTTCTTTGTGTATATATAACCATATATAATAGCATAGCTTGCTGGTGTTCTTGTCTACTACCACTGGCAGTTCAGAGATAGCAAGTCTTTAAAAGAGTTGACCTTTCCTATTTTCTGCTGGAGGGAGGACAAGCAAACAAAAAAGTTGCTCATTGTATGTTTGAATTAATTTGTAAAAAAGTATTTTCTCACTTGTTAGCAATCATTTTGTATTCTAAATGTTAACTGCACCTTGCTGTATAACTGTTTACAGATTTCTTTAATTATGATTGTATTTATAAATGGAGTGTAAAAAAGACCGTCCTGAAAGCTGAACAGTTGCCTACATAACTATGCAGCACAGCTTTATGAAAGTAGATTCAAAAGCACACGTATTTGACTAGGATTTATGGGTGAGAATGATGAGATGTTGTGTTTCCCGTGCGGCACAGCGCGGCTCCTTCTATGATGCACTTCAGCAGTGTAACTGGGAAATCCTCAGCCGTAACGTAGCGAAAGTTGAGCTCACTTAGAGGTTTGCCCTTCACTGGGTTGGTCATCAGTCCAAACTGACTAACTCTACTAATAAACTGGACCTGGAAAAGGAGTACCGTTTAGCAGGCCAGAAATGCCGGGTTAAGGCTGCCTCGAGCACCTCGCGGTGGCTCTGCTCTGCGGCACTGCCCGTAGGGTTGTGCCCTTGGGCTTTGCAGGCCGTTCTCATGGGAATCCCCTGGAAGCTCCTTTGCACCAAGGAAATAGAAACGACTGTGATATGGCGGGATTTTTGGGTTCAGCCTAAAAGAAGATCAAATCTTAGCAGCATACGAAGTAAGCAACAAACTGTCCTTACCAATGTCAGTATAAGCGAAGAGTATTGACTTGAATGACTCCCCTCTCATACCCCATTCCTAAAATATATCCTCGGCCACTCCTACGTGTCTGACGCACTGTTTTAAAATACAGATACAGATGCAGCATTGTAGAATTTTTCTCAGAAGATCTGTGAAGGACTAATGTATCTGCATCTCCCCGACCAGCTCCTGCTCTTGGCGACCTGGAGGGATTCTCCCGGTTTCTCCTAAGCATTTCCTTTGTAGGATTGTAACACTGTCTGCACTTCCTCTCTGCTTTTCTTGTTTTATTTTTTTTTTGTTTTTTTTCTTTGTATTGCCTGAAAATTTTGCTGCTGTGCATGGGGCTGGAAATGCAGGGTGCTGACTGCCTGTCTTGGGGAGCACTGAACCCTGTCTGCAGGCACCTCGAGCAGAGCAGAAATCTGAGTAGGTGCCAGTGGAGGCAAACAGACGTGCGGCGCAGGTACGCGCTCTTCTCTGGCAGCAGTCGTCACCTTGTCTTTCTTTTAATTTAATTCCAGTATACTCAGCTGACCTCTCATCTCTTTCTCCAACAAATTCAGTTTGAGCTTAACCTCTGACGCTAGCTGCCCGTGCTGGAAATCCTGCTCCTCACAACTTGCTGGCTTTGCCGTGAGCATTTGCCTCGAGGAGATGGTGGCAATGGCCGCTCCTGGCCGCGCGCTGCACAGCCTCTGCCTCCTCTCCTCTCATGCCGGGTGCCTTAGCGGGGCTTGAAACACGTGTGTGTAGCCTTTAACGTGCAGGGGTGTAACCTGTGGCACTGCAGCTGCCCCACGAGCACCAGAGCTGCTGATGCCGTGTGGGCAGGGCTCGCTCTGGGGAGGCCTAGGCCCCGAGCAAGCTGTCTCCAGGTAAGTCCTGCTGCACCCGCGTTTCTTCTCAGTTTGCACTGGCACCCGTGAGTCCCCCTCTTACGGCCCTCCCGGCTTTACTTACTCATCCTTCAGATGAGTTTCCCCATTCGCCCTCCTTGTCTTTAACCAGCGAGCGCTCTCGTCACGTAGGGCTACTCCAGAAACAAACCGTAGCCGAGTACGGAGCCCACAGAGATTTCGTCACATCTCTGCACAGAGTCAGGTTTTTGAAGTGAAGACTTCACTACTTTTGCCCTTCTGAAGAAAATATCATTCCTTTTTATCTTTCTCAAGTCACTGAAACTTGCCAAGAGAATAAAATTAGTTTCTAGAAGACTGCTATCATTGAATATGGTCCCTTAAGAAAATACAGGAACTGTTTCAGGGACTCCAGTTTGATTTTTTACTAGAAATGTCACTTTTTTCCCAACATAACTAAGTTCTAAACTTCAGATTAAGTGGCTAAATTTAAGATAAAATCTTAAGCAGGTAGTTGCCTGCCTTAGGTCAAATCTGTGGGTTTTTGTTTTGTTTCGTTTTTTGATATATCAACTTCCTGCTCTGCCAAGGAAGTGTTAGTTGTAAGCCAACAGAGTTATCTTGTGGTTTCAGAAGATTCTGTAACCCCTCTAAGATCTTGAAAAAGGTCTTAGGTAAACTTAAAAAATGGCTGATTTCTGTTCAGATATTAAATTTATTTTTCTTTTTACTTACTATAATAATAATTTGTTCCTGATGCAACTTTAGGAAAGCGTATTACATAATAGCATCCTTTTATTTGCTGGAATTTATTGGAATCTGAAGTCTCTTATGCCTTTCCTTTTAAAGTTATCTGTGACGATAAATATGTTTCTTTAATCTGTGTCATTTACCAGACACAAAGTTACAAAATCTTGTGCAGGATTTCTCTAGCAAATCAGTGCGAGTATGTTATGTTTGGAGGAGGAAAAAAAAAAAAAAAAGTTGGATGCATGCTAGATGTATTTATATTTGCAGATTAAATCAGCTGGACAGTGGATGCATACTGGTGCTCCAGTGTTTTTGTTTTGGGCTTCACTACACATGTGCAGCAGACTTAGCCTCACTGTGCTTCTGCGTCGTACGTGATGTTAGTATGTGCCAATATGCAGACAATTTGATATTTTTCTGCTTCTGTACCTGTTAGAAATTCCAGATATGATGCGTATGGCATTTCTAAATTCTACCTGAATCACACTTTCTACTTTTATTTACTGAATAAAAGTGGCAGTATTACCTTTTTCTTCCAGAATTCCAGAATAATTCCAAATGTTATCTAGTTACCTATTGTTAAGAACTCAGTTTTAAAAAACAAACAAACAAAAATTTTCTGTCACAGACAAGGACAGAGGATTTTGTCTAACAGCTAATGAAACTTTTTTTTTTTTGCTTTCCTTTGTTGAGAACTTTTTACTTAATTAGTATGCAGATAAGTAATTTAATCTTACCTGTATCTTACTACTAAAACAGTAGTGGGAAGAAAAAAAAAGGCAAGAAAAAAAATTTCCAGGTATCACTTGTCAGTTAAACCTCTCTTGTTCATTTTGTTCAGGTATTTTTGCTGAACCATCTCCTTTATTTTCCTAGCTTTTTCTATTCTTGATACTTTGAACAAATAAATTCTTCACCAGACCATAGCTGTATATTGATTTACAAAAGTGACATCATCTTTTCTATCAAAAATTAAACAAATACTCGACTAAAAAGCTAAATATTCAATCCAGACTTCCTTTATTTTCCTCAGTTCAGCTGATGAACTGAAAGCTCTAGCAGTAACACAAGCTGTAGTTAGATAATTATTTTGGAAGATGAGTGGTGGATAAGGAAAAAATTTATTTTCCTGTGTGTAAACTAACACTTTCTTATGTAGCCACTAAGGTAATCACTGCCCTTTTTCCAAAATATACTTCTTGCTTTTATTCATTACTTTGTAAATAATATATGCCAGTTGTCTTTGTGCCTACCCAGAAGACTTCTACAAATTGCTGCCTCTGTATTTTCTTCAAAATTTCAAAGTGAAGCCTCTTGCACTCTGCTCACATGAGTGTTTGAAAGATTTGTAATTTGACAACGTCGTCCATGAGCTGAAAAATAGCTTTTGTAGAGAGTAATTGGGATACTTACCCTTGCAGCTGTTAAGTTTTTCATTTTCAAAAACAAACAAGCAAATAAAAGAAGGAAAAGCCGAAACCCACATACAGTTCGTATGTTTTTACTGATATGAAATGTCCCAATATACAGGCAGTCCTGAGTCCCTCTGTCTTTTGTGGCACTTCCAGGGTGCCTCACAAGATAACATTCATGTGAAGTGTGTCACTATAGATATGTCTGTGTTGAGATCCCTATCTGTAGAAACATATCTGTTAAGTGTTGAAAGTATTTTGCAAAAAATTTGGGAGGGTACCTTCAGCTCATCTTCTGAGATGCATTGTCCGTTCTTTGTTTTGCTGATAGGCTTAGCACTGCAAATCAACAAGTTGGAGAAGAAAAGAAAAAAGCAGTTTCAACATATTTGAGTATTTGCTTGAAATGAAATAATTGTATTTGTGAGGAGTATAATAGAAATTTCAGTGATAGAAACAAGAACATTATCACATGTTAAATTTAACTTTGTTAGAATTTTGCAGGATAGAGTAGGGGGCAAGAAATACTATACATTTAATTCTCAAGGATTTGCCAAAATTTGTAGTCACTAAAGATTTTTAAGCAAAAGTTTTTGATCAAAGTGAGCTGCTTGTATTAATGCATACCAGTAACTATTGAAAGAACACTGATCAGCTTTCAGTTGGTAAAATTTATAAGTAGAAATCAGCTAGCATGGCAAAGGATTCAGGTTAAAGATAATTGAAGTGAAAAATAGTTTTATAAAATTTTAATACTGAATTTTGGTATTTTGATAGGCGCTTGTGTAATATTCAAACAGCTGAGCACAAGTAAGTAAATGCCAGTGGGAAATGTTTTATTTTGTAGTGTAAAACTATACGATAACTACTTCATTTGCTAAAAGCTGCCATTTCTAGAAGCCGAATCTTTTTGTACTACACAACTGTTAACGTGTTTTTTGTGTGTTACTGAAGAACAAACCCACTTTTATGTTCTTGTTTACTCTCATATTAAGGTGTATTTTTACCGTACTGGTGTAGCAAGCTGTTCCTAATTTCATCTGAGTGCTTATCACTTGCTTTTGGCAATGTATGCTTAGGCAGGAGAGATTTTAACCAATAAAAGGGGGAAGAAAAAGAAAAAAGAAAAAAAAAAAGCATGCAATTGCATGTTTAAGGAGTCTTCAAACTTTGTTTTGACTTTCACCTTTAAAACAAGAAGCATTGAAATAGGCCTATGGTTTGAGTAACCCTGCTCCATTAAGTACATGAATCTTTACCCCTCCAGGCTATGTTCATTTGCATTTTATCTCTGCCACTCTTCCACACTTGTATTTCACTCTTGACCCTGTTTCTAGGAGATGTGCGAGTAAGAAGTCGGGCAGGATTTGAAACAGAGAGAAGAGATTCTCATCCATACATTGATTTCCGTATTTTTCACTGTAAGTATTTAAAAGCAGATAAATGACAAATAAATAACAGGCTTCCATTAATTTTAATTACCGAGCCTCTAAAAATAGTTAGCTGCTTACGTAGCAAGATTGTTTTTATACTTCTTAGGAAATTCTTTCATGCTACTTAATTACCCAAAAATAGTATAGTAAAAACATCACTGCTATTTACATTTTTTTTTCTAAAAATAGTGTTTAAACTCTCATTTCTAGAATTTAGCCCTGAGTCCCTATGGAAATGAAGACTATCCTATATACAGCTACTGCTGTGTGTGCTGGAAGACACATTGAGCTGAGAGGAATTCTTCCCTGCTTTTAAAGAGCAGCAGAAGTACCTGCTGCCAGATAATCTTTGAAGGGAATTGCAATAGATTTCAGTATTCCTGACCAGATAATAAATCACGTAAGCTTATGTTTACTCAAACATATAGTTAGGACTTAAACTTTTCAGAGGTAGAAAATCTAAAATAAAGATCTCGAGTCTGACATAAATAATTTGTTGGGTGATCTCAATTTTTTTCACTACATCTAGATTGTTATAACTAAATATGCCAGTTCTACTTGTAATATAAAGGCTGCAGTAACCACCACACCTGAATAGTCAGTAAAAGTGCAGGTATTTAAATCCTATTTTAATGATGCCATCAATGCTCATGTATTAAGCATAATCTTAACATATCTATACCAACATTACTTGTAACAGTACAATTCTGAGTATTCTGAATGCGATTCACGTACGTAGATATAGTGTTTCATGGTAACAAGTGTGGTTGTTGTAAATATGGATAAAAATGAGTGGCAAAAACTATGATAATTAATATTCTTAACTGAAGTTATTCGTTTTTAAAGTAGATCATGACTTAAACATAAAATTTAAACCCTTAATTTCTTCAAAAAGTTAGTTTCATAAAATAGGTGAGAAAACAAAGTTTGAAGAGTGTGATATACTGAATTTTTCAATAAAGAAGATAAGGATTCTGTGTGGCATTTTATGCTGACATAGGAAAAAGATTTTCAAATGAAATGTATGCATTTAAAATCAGTCATGTATGATATTACTGCCATTGTCAAATTAGCTGTATTTTTGATGGTACTCATCATGTTATTTCCATTCTGATGGTTGTCCATTAGGCAAATCATGACTAATAAGGGAAAGGATTTCTCACACCCTTCCTTCTTGCCTCTACTTGTCCAGGCACAGGCACCAGCTTTTAGCAACATCACCTGTGGTTTCTGATGACAGCAAAGAATGTTGCTAGGAGGCCCAAGAATTCCCGGGCTGTAGCTTTCCTCCGGAGTCGGCTGCTGTGGCAGTTTCCAGACGGGTTTTCTGTACCTCAGCACTGGGGCCAGCTGCAGTGTCGCTCCTTGGCTGTAGCCTCCCCCGAGGTGCTTTCTGAGTAAGGAGGGAATTCAAGCTCTTCTCCTACCCAACAGGAGAAGCCATGACCTGAGATTAGCTAGTCATTTGCAGAAATGACAAACAAGCAGAACCCCATACTTGAAGCCTCCTGTCTTTCTCCACGTTATGCTGATGTCGACCTGTTTGGAGATCACTTGGTTGTTTTAAGCAGACAACTCTTAGTGCTTTACTGGCTGGAGGAAGAGAGGAGTTGTACGACTCAGACTTGACCCCCCTCTTAGGACTGTTATTTTTGCCTTCTGGCAACTCCAGAAGGATTTTGCACATAAAACTAAGTAACTGAAAAATGTTCAACTGCATGAGCAATAGACGGCACGGGAGCAGGGCCGGCCGGCTTGCCGGTCCTCTGCTTGGAGCACGACCTGCGCTGGGAGAGGGTTCTGCTGCAGCAGCAGCGGCCGGAAGCACCTGGGAGCTTTCTCGTCCTCCCCGTGCCTCTGAATGCTGAGCATCAGCAGTGCCTGGGTAGGCTGCTTTCATGGTGGCGTGAAGTTTCACCGTAACTTCCCTCTGCTGTTGACCAACTTTAATCTGTGATTCTAAAAATTTTGCGATGATCATTGCTTATTGTTTTCCAGGTAACTAATGCGTATTAAATACTGTTTGTTGTTTGCAGCGTGGGAGCATTGTTGTCGCTTTGTTTTGCTTAGCCAATCTGTCGTGTTGCAGTCTTTTCTCTCAACGACATCTTTGAAGAACTTCAAAGTCTTTCAGGAAGTCCGGCTCATAAACTGTTGACCAGTTCTTTTATTAATAGATGCTTAATTCCACGTTTTATTGATAGGTTTGAAGAGTAAATTATTTTAAAGGCACTATTTTATTTTTTACAAACTTTATTTTTTCCTGTGAAATAATCACTTATGTTTCACCATTTTGAATTTATTTGTAACTTTGATGGCTGTCGCCAAACACCAAAGTAAAGTGTATTAACATTTAGTGCTTAGGATCACTCCTGTTTCTTTTTAGGGATTGAGAGATGAATATCTGTATTCTTTTTCCCATTTCTGCATCTTCATTCCTGAATTTCATAAGCAGTACATGAATATTCAATTTCTAAATTGGTTAGAAATGTTCCCACCCATCAACTTCTTTTTTGTTTTGAAATTAGGTTTTTAAATGATTATTAGAAGAAAAGTGTCTTTTTATAATGTTTTCTTGCTATTGAGAGTTTATCAGCAATGTCTGTTGTTGTTCTTTATATGCTTAAACAAATAAATCTCTTGTTGATTAGGTTTGTGAAGATTTTCAAGCATGCAAAAACAAAAGAATGTGTAGTGTGCCCCCATCACACGCTGTTCCATCTGAAAACAAGCTGAGCTGAAATGCCCAGTGTAACATACAGAAGTACGTTACAATGAGGAAATGAAGCCAGAAGATCCCGGAAGGAAGAACTAAGGAATGGCAAAGAAAATTTGGGGATGTGTCTAGTGAATACTAAACACTTTCAAGCTTGTTGTCTTTTAAGGAGAGGTTGCTGGATATGGAACTGCATAAAACCACCGATGTAAGACCTGTAGGGAGGAAACTTTTTCTGCCTTTCCTGTTGTGCCTGCAGCAGAATAGATAAGGTCTTGCCAAAAGGTTTAGGAGTTCCTTGGCAACACTTCTGGACATACCTACTGGATGGTGGCGATGTAGCCAACACGTGGGGCTCTGCTTTCCGTGTTACAGTTAACCAGATATGTTACATCTGTGAGTTAAAACATGTGAGTGATGAGAAAGTTTTTGAGTTAATCAGTGCACAGTTAAGCAGTAAGCATTTAGGGGTGATTCAAGTTCAAATGGAATTGGTGCTAACATGCAGCACAGAGCTTCCTAGTGGAGAGAAAACAACCTACTAGGAACTTCTCTGAGGTAGAGATTTTTTCTTTTTCTCCTTTTCCTCCTTGGTTATGTATGGAGCCTTTCTAAAGGAGAGAAGTCGAGTTAGGTGACTTTCATTGCTAGTGGTTAAATCTTACATCTCTTAGAAACAACAAGAACAGATGAATGGAGAAATGGCAGAGTTAATTTCTGGTATGAAACATTCAGGCTCCTTGCTTGGAAATTCCACTTTGCAGAACATTTTATCTACTACTTGGAGATCTTGCGACCACGTCAGCATCTGCCATTCACAATGTGATTTTGAACTTTCTCATTCCTGGCACACAAATCATCCCTGGCCTTGGGCAGTGACGCTGGACTTTGCTAAGATGAAAGGGCAAAAGTCAAATAAGAAAGAAAAGGTTCATTTTGAGTCCAAGTTTGGGCTGTCTTTGTGTAATAACACCCAAATGTGCTTGTGAATATGCCTTCTAGAGGCTGGGATAAAATAAGTGTAGTCCAGTTGAAGCTGGATGCCCTGTTTTGTTTCAATAAAACAGAGGAATGACGTAGCAGAATCTCTTTTAAGAAAAACTTCAACTGTTTTTTTCTGTTTCGCAGTCTGTTGTAAAGAAAGCTGAATTTCAGAATGCATAAAATTATGCAAGAAGATTTTTTTGATCACACGATTGCTGTGTGATCGGGCACTGAAAGAAGGATTCATTTCCTTCTGAAGATTCAGGTGAAGGTGAAAAGTTTGCACTGCGTGCATTTCCCTAAAAGCTGCCCTTTCGGTGAAGGGCGTGTTCTGAATTTGTCATCTAATTATGCATAATCTGGATTATTAAAATAATTTTCCTCCTCCATAGGAGAGAAATTTTGGCTTGTGTTTAGTGCAGTCATATGTGGGGAAGTCACAAAAGCCTGTTCACAGAAAATGTTATAAATATAGCTCCGGCCAAAAAAAAAACCCCGCAGCTGAGCTAAGCTTGAAATGAAAATGTTCTTGTGCTTCGTTAAGTAAGATTTCAGGGCAAAAACTTCCAGTTAAGAATATAATTAAGAATTAATTTTTGATACAATAATAATAATATAATTTCTATATAACAATAATCTATGTAAGAATTATATTTCTATATAATGCTTCCGTTTAATAATATATATTTTGCCTCCTTAAATGATTCTTTTTGTACAAACTTCACATTTCTGTAAAACAGTATGTGTGGTTTGGAGTCTTGCACTAGTGCAGTTCATTGGCTTCTGGTGGAGGTAACTTTGTGCAAGAAGACGCTCTATTTTTTTTTTCCATTTCTTCTGAACCTCTCATGTGTTCTTCCTCGAGGTGATTTATAAGTGTTCCCTGCCCCCCCCCCTTTTTTTTTATATATATATATACATAATGCCTAAAGCACATGCACCTTCTTTTTGTTTTCTCCTGTGCTCATGGTTAGATTTTATTACTGATAGTTGTGCAGCCCTATAAAGGATCTTCTCCTTTTGTCTGTCAACCATGATGTGTTACTCCTGAATTCTTCCGTTTCTGGGGGGTGGGAAACAGCCAAAAGGGATTACTTGGTGGTTTTGTAATTACTTCATCACAGGAGTGGAGAATTTTAGGACCCCCAAGAACTGCGTTTACTTGGAAGACATTAAAAATAAAACTTTAGTGATGGTCTGCGATATTATCCTTGCTTTGGGTAGAAGAGTTGCTGAACTGCTCTCTATCGTGTGTACTTGTCTTTTGAGAGCATCCATACCTTGACTG